TACATTACCCACAATGCAACTCAGCCGCAGGCAGTTGGGTTAGCAGATTTGATACGTTGTGCTAGTAGGGAGCTCATGTAGCCATCCAGACACTCTGCCCTCATCGCCACGTCACACGCTTTGCTGCTCTAGTTGGTTGCAGGTCTTTCCATTTGCATCCAGAGGCCTTTTGGTCGACGCCAGTTGATAACGTCCCTTGGAGATTGAAAAGGAACTGAGAGGTTCCAGACAACTGCAATCAGCATTTGATATTTGGTCTGGCAACGTCAGGCTCCGTGAAGTCAGCTTCTGAGAAGCAAAATCTGGAAAACATGACTGCTGTTGTGATTTTAGAGGGTTTTTCAGGGCTTTGTGTTTTTGAAGGGTCTCTTCTCATTGACTTCTTTACAAACAGCCTATAACTTGTCATGGAGCCTGCTGCCAACAGCCACAATAGAAACATTCAGCCGGGGTGGTCATCACCTGGTTGTGTGGCAGCAACAAGTCTGAAGTACAAATGCTTTGCATGAACAAACTCCTCAAAGCATTCAAGGTCATGCAGGGGAGGGAGGAAGCTGTGACTTCTGGAAAATGCTGCAAGATCAGGCAGGTATGAATGAATGTTCATATCATTGATTAATGATATATTAAATATAGATTTCAAAGATGTGCTTTCTCATATGTGTCTATATCAGTAAATTGCTGTTGGTAACTGAGTAACCTCCTGTCCTTTTTCTTTTTAAAGCCTAAATCTTTAAGAAAAAAAGAAGATCGGCCCGGTCACTGTCACGTTTTCTGGGCCTCAGCCTCCAAATCAGTCCCACGCTTGGCTGTGAGGCAGCAACTCTGAGGCAGAAACCATCACAACAAACAGGAAGTATGCAAGTTGTGTTTCTGAAATATGCATTGTTTCGGTAATTTTATCCAAAGAGACTTACAAGAAACTGTAAAATAAGCATTAGAACAGCCTTGCTGGGTGTTTTTTTTGCGATTTCTGTTGAATTACAACATTCACATGTGAGGCAGGCGCTATAAAGGGAGACAGATTAATACTCAGAGGATAGAAATGTAGTTTATTACTTTTATATTATATTATATTACGTTTATAGACCAGTTATTAATAAGAGGGAGGGTGTGGCCCTCTGTAGCCCACCCCTCATCTCTGCTGTCGGCTAGAAGCTAGATACCACACTGATTATTTGCCCTACACCTCAAAACAGTATTTATATCAAAATATGTAATTATTATAAAACTAGTTAATATATGATATCGATTGGGTGGGGCAGTAAAGTAAAATGTGTTAACTAAGGAGTAAAATAAATTTTTTTCATGTTGATATGAAGGAAAATATGGAAAAACAAATGTTTTTTGAATCACTTTTAAACTTGTATACTCTCTTAGGCCCCATGGAACGCAAAAGTGTTTCTCCTCTTACAGTGAATAATCTAGACACTCCGAGCTCCACTGTCATAGATTCTGTTACCACTTTGAAATATTTCATTTAAATGTTCATTCTCCATGTAATCTGCTATAACTTATAAGACAGGAAGCATAAGAAATCAAAAATGTAATAAGATAAAAACACTATTCCAACATCCAAATCTTTATTGTTTGTCTCAGGCGTGACTGACTCCGTACTAACACCCTCCATGTTGGGTTTAAAACCCTCTGAGGTCTCAGACATTTCTCCTACTTTTGGTCCGCCTGGTCTCCTTTTATAATAATGCAAAACTGAAAAGCACAATTGTGTTATTTACATTTCTTTTTTTTTTTTCAGGACTAACTGGGTTATCAGAATATGTATAAATAGTTATATTACCATAAATGCAAAAGAAAAAACAAAAAAGGAAATGCATTCTCAAATACTTCAAATCACACATAACACAGAAATCTAAAAAAAAGGTTATTCTAATCCTTGATGATCAGGGGAAACAAACAGATCCAAAATAAAATGTGTAAAATATATACTCTATATGCTGTGGCTCATCTGCTCCTTATTTATACATGCTCTCATTATTTCGGTTGCTGCCTAGAAAGCACATAATCTACATCATATATGATGGACTGAATGTGAGCGCACATGCTCAGTCAGCTACACACTCCTGATTTCTCATTCAAGCCAATGCATCATGGGATACATTTTGCACTCAGTAGGCTTCGCATAACGACAACAACAACAACGCGATTAATGGGTAACAGTTGACAGAAGTGTGATGGCCCCTCCGGTTGGTTCCTCTGCTGTGTCTGCTTTCTCTCTCCGGGGCTGCGGAGCTGATTGCAGAGTAATCAGTGTCATTGGACACACCTGGGCAAACACCTGGGCCCGGTGTAGCGCGTGCAGAAGCGCTTTGGTTGGCAGATCGCTCAGCTCAGACCGGCGTTGTGGCGTTTGGTTTCTTTTCTTTGTTTTTACAGCACAACACCCACGCAGCACAGTTTCATCAACATCAAAAAGTCATAATATAGGAAGTAATAAATGAGTCATAGTTAAAAAAATGATGTTAAAACAAAGTCATTATATAGTGTCTAAAATAGACACGAAAAGTCATAGTATAGAATGTCGGAAAACATTAGAGTATAGGATTTCAAAAAAGTACATAACATCGAAAAAAAGTAAGTAACAGAGTCCTGTTAAGTATGTCAAAAAAAAACGTCATAGTATATTATGTGTTAAAAGAATAAAAAAACGGCTATAGTATGTTAAATAAATCAGAGTATAGTATGTTGAAAATAGTCATAAAAAGTCAGTATATTTTTTTAAGTTTCTATAGATGGCATATTTATTACTTTTTCTTTTTAGTCATACAATACTAGGACTTATTTCAACATACTATACAATGACTTTTTTTTACTTTTCTTTAGACACTGCAGTATGTTTTTTGTGACCTTTTTAGGATGTTTAATGAGTATTCTATGACATTTTTGTGACTTTTTGCCATACTGCACTGGGGCTTTCAAATGACATTTATCCACATATGACATCCTTTATTTTGACTTTTTAATGACTTTTTGGGACATACTAAGCTAAGAATGTATAGCTTTAGTTTTTAATTCTGGAAAATCTATTTTATTAGACTGACACTTATTTCTGTTTTGACATAATATAATACGAATATATAGCTTTTTTAATCCAATAATGTGAATTTTTTTGATTTTTTTAATGTACTACATTATGCTCTTTTATTACTTTTTTAAAGATATCTTATGTAATAAGAATTTTCTTTACATACTGACTGAGTTTTTTAAAGTTCCTATACTCTGACTCTTTTTTCTCTTGCTTTAAAGCATTGTTATTGTGTAACAAAAAAGTAACATGCTACATCTGATTCTGTGTTATTGGGGTTATATAAATGAAATTTATGGTGGCACGGGACAAAGAGGCATCCAGGAGGCATCCTGATCAGATGCCGGAACCACCTCTGCTGGCCCGTTTCGACCCGAAGGAGCAGCAGCTCTACTTTGAGCTCCCTCCGGCAGTCTGAGCTCTTCACCCTCTCTCTAAGGCTGAGTCCAGCCACCCTCTGAAGGAAGCTCATTTCGACCACTCGTACTGGTACGATCTCATTCTTTCGGTCCCTACCCAAAGCTCATGACCATAGGTGAGGGTCGGAACGTAGATGGACGCTTCCCACTTGGCTACAAACTGCCCCAGTGCGTGCTGAAGGTCGCGTTCTGAAAGAGCCAACAGAACCACATCATTTCCAAAGAGCAGGGACACACTTCTGAGGTCCCCAAACCAGACACAAACCTGTAACCACCACAGGAACCCCCAAGGGACATGGTAATAGGCCGTCTCCAAGTCCACAAAACACGTGTAGACCAGAAGGGCAAACTCCCCATGACCCCTCCAGCAGACCTGCAAGGGTAAAGACCTGGTCTACTGTTCCACGGCCATGACGGAATCTGCCCTGCTCCTCCTGGATCTGAGGTTCGACGAAAATCGGTCGGAGCCTCCTTTCCAGCACCCTGAAATAACCTCTCCTGAGCAGCTGCAGCCCTTCTGAGCCCAACTGTATGTATAGTTGGTAACGATCTACCAGCTCTGGTTCCGGGCCCCGCCCGAGACGTCTCTAGAGCTGGTCTGCAATGCCAGGGGTCTGCAGGCCTAAGTTCCTGCCCTTGCCTTCCACCCGGCTCACATTGCACTCGACCGCAATGCCCCCCCCCCCCATGAGTATTGGACCACAGGGCGGCAGCTCCATGAAGACGTAAACATGTGAACTCTGCCCTTACGCACACAAAGAAGAATTAACATCCGACTCAAAGCCTGTTCAAGAAATTGAATAACTTAATATAAAATACAATATGACGTACATTTTACTAACAACTACTTTGATCTTGATTTAACTGGACAATGAAAACAGCCAGATAAACAAACATGCTTTAATATTCTCCAAAACTGCGACAGAATGCTCAGGATGTGATTCACTGCATGAGCCCATTTTCCTTGTCCGAGTTAATGAAGGTGAAGCCAAAGATGAAAACAGACAAAGAACGACATCTTCCTGTAAAATGTGCATTTCTTAAAAGATTGTCATTCTGCAGAGGTCAAAACTAAAACCTTCATGCTGAGTTCCAGTCGCTGATTTTGTTCACCGTTAAGATGTTAGATGGCGGAATGATCAACTGCTGCGCGCTGACATTCTTCCTTCAACAATTATTGCATAACTGCAGCGACGCCTCTCTCGCTGAAATCTGTTTTGCCAAATCACAGCCTTCGGTTTTCACAAAGACGCTGCTCGTACTAATGAAGAGCTCCGCTTTGATTGAAGCTGTTCACGGACATTAAGAGCTTGTAAAGGTTCTCCATTTGGATTAGTACGTGCTGGAGTGACAGAACGGGGAGTTTGATTGGATGACAACAAATAGCTAAAAAAAATTATATAAATAGCTTTCATCTAAAAGTCAAAGCTGTTTATGAACATTTTGAATAGATCCAATAATAAAACAAATCCCTACAACTGAAATGTGATTGTGACGTAAATGTACTTGTAAAACTCAACAATAGAAACACAACCCAATCCCGGCCAGATCAAAGTCTTTATTATGTGATGAACAGTTCTACACTGGGGAATGTGTGCGTCAAACATTAGTATTAGGACAGTGTTGTTTAGTTCTCTTCCTAAAAAAAAAGTCTCTAGGAATGAATTATTCAACTTCTAAACGTTTTTAATAAAATAATGCAGGTACATGTTCCCCGATCACCATCATCATTGCCCGCTCGCTCACACAGAAGCAGCGTTACATTTGCTTGTTCATCCGTTTAGAGTGCTGGTGCACGGCTTCCACGAAGGCGCCCACGTTCTCCGGGTCCATGTCCGGGTAGAGGCCGTGGCCCAGGTTGGCGATGTAGCCCCTCGTGCCGAAACCCTCCAGCATCTTCTTCACAATGTCTGAAATGCACTCCTGAGGAAGAGGAAGAGGAAGACCCGTCACATAAGTCGGGGCTCAGCTACGGCTTCAGAATAGCAGTAGTTGAGACTAGCGGTAGAGTTTTCTGTTATTTTCTTTCCCTTCTTTTGTCATTTAATAAAAAAAAAAAAAAAATCCAAAATGCTGATCTCCACAGAGACATATCTGGAACATACCGGATACAAACTATGACGGTATAGATCTAACATTACTCCTCTTAAACTAACCCATTTTAATCCCAATATTCCTGAGAATGAAATGAAGGAATTGTGATTTCCAAAGGAACAGAATGCGTTGTTCCTGCTGAAGCTCAACTGTATGTTTAAGACACACGGTACATACCGAGGGGGAATATTCAGAAAGTGCAAGGAAACAAACCAGTGTGACGTTATACAACGGAGCGGAACAGGCAGCGGCGTATTGCAATATTAGGGGCGATGAACGGCTGACATTCAACAGGCTTAAAGGAGCAGTTCACAACAAGTTCATCCAATTAAGAGTTCAGTGAATCGGACTTCAGTACTCACAGAAAACAAGTCAGAACAATTTAGAATGTCTTACATTTTTAAATGTAATACATTCTATTAAATCAAATGTATTTCTTTAACTCTGTAACTAATTATTAAAATGATATTTAATGTTCTGCTTGTTCAGTTTCTCCTCCTTCACAGAGAGTGTTGTGTTACTGGGGATGGCTGAGAGGGTATCTGGAGAGGTTTTGTCTCTTTCAAAATTAAGTCAATAGAGAAGGTTAAAAAAATAAAGAACAAATAAATAAACATTCCATCCATGTGGGAGAATAAACCAGAGTGGGAGTGGAGTTTACCTTTGGAGCGTAGAGAGCACAAGGATCCATGTTTCCCTGCAGGCTGACCTTCCCTCCCGTGAGTTCCCTGAATACACACAGCACAGCACAGGACACACACACACACACACACACACACACACACACACACACACACACA